ATAATTATTGGAAGTGGACTTCTTTGATTTCCTGATGAAGATTAAACAGGACAAATTTGCCAGCTAACACGCAAGTCCAAAAGAACAATTCTCATTCAGCTAATTTTACATGATTCGCTACATGCTAGACAACTTTCTTTGCCTCAGCAATAAGTTCCAAAATTTCAATTGTCAAGGAAAGTCTACAATTGCACTGAACTTAAGAACAAATTATCAAAATAAGCTGGAAATCCTCAAGCAAACAAGGTTATCTCCAAAAAAGGAATTTGGGTTATTGTTACTAATTTAATTGGTAAAAGGAGGCTGTTTAACAAACAAAGTGGAAGCGAATTCAATCTTTTTGCCTTGTAGCGGTAAGTATATTTAAAAGGTCTAAAAAGAATAATCCAATATCCGGATATGAACTAGCGTAAACTTAAATCCTAAAAGATATCAAGATATAAATAGAGTTCCAATACATCCAAGACACTAACATAAACATAAAACTAGGAACATATCTAGGTTTAAATAAATGTCTTCCCCCTATGTTTTTAGTCACGTGGTATCAGTAAAAACTTGCACGATCAGAGATGTATATTACTACTCTAACAGACAATGTTTCATATAAACGTTGTTCTATTTCCTAAAGTAAAGTGTCTTTTGATAATTGAAACTCCATATGTGCTCTAGACGAAATATTAATTGCCTGATTGGAACAGGACCACAATCTTATCAGATCTGATTGTAGCCTTAAAACCAATGAAAGACCAGTTCAAGGGGTGGATTCATGTGAGGAATTTGAAGAATGTGGAAGTTGCCCTCCTTTTACAGCATTGTTGGTGTTCTAGGTTTTTGGGATTCATCATTCTTAACTCATAATTTGCTACCCGTTGTGTATGTTGTCCAGGATCTTTGCAGCCTCAATACCAAATGATTCAAAACAAAAAGAATAACCCAAGGATTAAAACATTCAAATTTTAGTTATAAACCATCAAATATAAGAGCAAGAATTGGCCATTTCAAACCTAGAAAACCATAACTTTCAGTTCTAGGTATATGTACAAACTGGATGCACGGCTGGAAATACAAAGGCAGAGTTAATCAATCAAAGATATGGCCAACATAATCTTCATTTCAGTAAACAAGAACCTTCTAGGTACCTGGAAAAGAGTGAATTGTGCGGATAGAGTGGTTGCTTCAGTTTGAAGTGTCTGAACTTTCCTTTCTAGTTCATTTATATAGCGGGCTTTCCTTTCTTTTGATCGAGCAGCAGACTGTCGATTTGCTAAAATTCTGCGCATCATTTGGAAAACTCATCAAATGATCTATGAAGAAAAAAAACAACAGAATCTTTCTGATCAAGAAAGACAAAAAACCATTCTAGTTGACCACAGTGCAAGGCCTTTTGAGCTTCTGACTAGTGGGAGCAAGAAAGCTTGATGTATTAGACGAAAGCGTTTAAAGACACTGTTGCATGCCATGGAGTGGGGAACTCGTTTCAAATGCATGTCAGCCGGTATCGGCATGGTTTTGCTCACTAGGATATAGGCATGTCAACACTACATCTAGACGGTACCAATCAACCAGGTTAGTCTATCAAGAGAAGCGAGAATCCTTTCACACAGAGGTTAGAAGGAATAAAGACAGCTCTAATTTGGTACCAGTTTTGTACGGAAAACCACGAAACACGCTGAATGCGTAGAAGTTATGGAATTTTCAGTGAGGAAAAAAAAGAAGTAAACTTGATATGCGCGTTAGATGTAGGAAGATCAGATAGATACTATAAGTTGTTCACCACAATTGGATTGTTGGACTTAAATAGTGCGGGCAACACAAAATGCATCCGACTGCATTTCTGCTGGAGAAACAACTAAATCAATGCGATCATCCTTCTGGGTTGAAATGATCAAAAATAAGGAAAGAGTAAACATGCAGCATCCTACGCGGAAAAAAAAAAGGGGAGAAAAGTTTTGACTCGACTGGCTCTCAAGATCCACAAAGATCCAAACACTCGAGATCTTAGTAATTTCCTAAAAATTCAAACCAAACAGAAAAATTGAAAGGTTGAATCACCAAATCCAATCATATTCAGCTGAATTGAAGAGGAAATAAAGAGAAATGGAGTAACTAGTATTAATTTTAAGCATACCTTTTAGCTCGTTTAGGATCAATGGTCCAGAGCTCAGCAAGCTTATCAGGAGCCATAGCTTTCTTAGCTTCAATACTGCTCTCATTCAACAGTAAGCTGGAACTGTCAACGGAATTACTATAGCGATGACGGGGCCTCATAGTTCCAGGGGGCAAGCTCTTCTCTCCATCCGCACCACTGTGGGGCAAACAAGCACCACCCGCATTGTCGCCGTCGTTAACATTATTGTTATTATTATTAGAGTTGGAATTGTTAGATCCGCCGAGCTTCTCAATGTCCATGTAAGTAGAGAAGAGATCGTCCTCGGATCCCATCTCGTCGAAGCTAGTCCCAGCAGGTACATCGAATGGGTCAGGAACCAGATCTAAGTCTTCCGGTAATCTAAAGTTAACCTCGGAATGAGCTCTTCGGTGGTGAGTGGGCCTAAATGCAAATGGCGCCGCCTGGTTCCCCTGCTGCTGCTGCTGCTGCTTCGCATTGCCAACATTTGGATCTTGCATTTCTCCCTTCTACTACTACTGCTGCTGCTGCTGCTGGGCAGCAACCAAAGTGCTGCTCTTAAATTGTTTCTCTTTAACTACTCTTTTTGGAGAGGGTGTATTTGGCGGAATCTGGATGCAAAATCTAGTGCTGGCCTGAAGAGAGGTAGCAGTCAATGGAGGAGTAATCTTGCCACTACTTCTTGGTGTTATGGGCGTTGGGCTGGGGGTGCGTGGACAGAGTAACTGTTGTGTTCCTCTTTTCAGTTTTCTCCCGTTGTTGGACTTGTAAGGGATTTACTACGCTACGATACGCTGCACTACACCTACATTACGCTTGCTTGGTAGGAGAGGGGCAGGGGAATAGATACTGAGTATGGGACATTAGTGGTGTCGTGGACTTCATCTGAGGGATCCATGCCGGCGTAATCATTTCTACCCGTGGGGCAGGGGCAGGGGCAGGGGCAGGGGCAGGGGCATCTGCATGGGCTTTGGCCCCATTTGTCATTTTGAACAATAGGCACAAGTGTATCATGTGTGAGTCTCATTTATGGTTTGGTTAATGAATCTCTTTAGATTTGGTTTGGCCTGTTATTGATCAGCTGCGGTTTTTAAATGGATTTACCATCAAATCCACAGTGTTGCCGCGTGCGACCAATTGTCAGAGCCCAAAGGGGGTGGAGTTCTGTCGCGTATTATTTGGTTTCAGTTTCCAGTTCCCCAGTTTCATATTATTGGCTTTCATGTCCTTAAGATCCCTTGAAAAATTAGACCCCAAAAAAAATTTTTTTTGTATTAACTTGTGGCCGCACATTTCTTGCCGTCTTTGGTGGACAAGGATTCGGTACGATTATATTCCGTACGGTACGGTTTCGTTCGATCGTTATACATGTTTAAAATTTTAGAGTACAAATACATCATAATGCTACAATGAATATGAATATAATGTGTATTGTGTATTGGGAAATTTGTAATTTTGGTACCAAGCATTTGGAGCATCGACAGTTTTAGTCCTTACAGTTTGGACGAAAGCAAATTTAATATCAAATGTTTCAATTTTTTAAGCACATTTAGTGCAAATGATCGGGTTTGATAAATTGTTACCCGAATCCAATCACACGAGTAATACACACAAATAGCTAAATTTTTAAAAATCAGAAAAAATGAAAAAAAATGTTGGTGACCATAATCTGTAATTAAAGGGCACTAGTTAGTCGTATGCCGAGTGACCGAATTCCGATAACAATTTGCGGAGCGGCATACGAGTAACTAGTGCCCTTTAATTACAGATTATTGCCACCAACATTTTTTCCTTTTATATAAATATATTTTTAAAACTTAGCCACGTCGCATGCTAATGCTACTCACGCGACCGGATTCCGATTATGTTTTGCCAAAACCTGTTAATTGAACTAAAAATGAATTTAAAAATTGAAATATTTGATATTAAATTTGCTTTCGTCTAAATTTTAGGAATTAAAACTACTTATACCTCAAGCATCAAAACTGCAATTTTATATTCAATTTGTTGGTGTTCTGGATTGCTCCATTTGTCAAAATACGTACTATTAAATAGGCAGGTATACTAACGTGGTAATGGTGGAACGCGTGGGAGGCCGTGGCTGTATGGCATATGTCCGGCTCTATAAATTCAAATGGTCCACCGCCGAAGTAGACGACGGGACGCCTCCCCGCTTGCAGACTCGTCTCTAATTTCTGCGTGGCCACAAATAGCTTGCCCGGTGACCCGATCCAAGGTGCAATTGCGCTTCTCACTTTGAATTCAAAGCGGCTGCTGTTGATTTTTTCGTATTTGGTTTGTGGATTTCTTACATAATTTGATTGATATATAAAATTTGTTATATGTATAAAATTTATTTGTGGCAAATAAATAACAATCGAACCAACTGTAACTGTACTCATCTTAGTCCCAAACATTTGAACTTTCATGGTTAGGATGTTCTTGTGTGGTGTAGTTGAAATCAAACTCCAGAAAATTTTAATGTTTTGAACAAACGAGTTAATGCATACATAGGTTATCTCAAGTACTAATTTGTTTCGAATCGATAATTATCTGAGACATTTCTCGTTTACACTTTGAAGCACGGGTCTCAAAAACAAGAGAACTCAGGATCATTCATTAATTGTATCCATATTACAGGAAAACGTCCTTTTTCCAAGCCTCAAATATAACGCCACGCACTTAATGTACTCATGTGACGCTCATAAGCCGTAGTTGTAACTACGCAGATAAGCAATAAAAAAGAAGAAGAAAAATCTAATGATGGTCCTACATAGATTATGAACAATTTGGGTCATGTATAATCCTGGAAAATACGGCAGTCGGGTTGATTACGGGCTCAATTAGAAGTCGTAGCTTTTAAGCTTTATTGATGGGGACAAGGTTTGTTGGGAAGGTGCCAGTGTAAATGAGCTCATAAAGATTAGATGTTGCGCTGAGTAGCTTTAGGTTGATGCATGGTTGAATGTAGCGTAACCGTGGAATTTGGCTTAATTTGCCTCCTAGACACAGGAAGAGTGTTGGAGCCGAGAAAGGACCGGGGTGCCGAGAGAATCAGTGCTAAGCTAATTGTGAGATTAGGTGGGATCAGGTGCGGTAATAAGAATTCTCTAGCATCCTACTTTTTTACTGGTTTTCTGCTATAAAAGTTGCCACTCCTCTGCGACAGATCAACTCCTCGATATTACGTAATAATGAGTTCAAAGAGAGTCTGCTTGAAGCTCAGCTTTCTTGTGGTATCTAGCCATTTTTCTACACCAAATAACTTTTGCAGTATCTAAATAAGCGACCTTTTCCGTACGTATCAGCCCTCTCCCGCCCGAGTAGGAACTTCTCTCTGTCCATCTAGAAGGTAATAGGCCAAGCCCTGCAAAACTTGTGCTTGAATTCCGTACAGTCCACTCCTTTATCTACTACTAATTGCTAGGTCGTTTGCATTTTTTTTTTTTGGGTCTCCAATAATTTGTGGTAAGAGCAGAAGTTTTCTTGAAATCTGTTATGTGTTAGGGAGGCTCTAGTTATTGTTCTCTCAATCTGTGGCTACCGGCTCTCCTCTCCTCGGCTTGCAGGTTATCATAGTAGGCGCACAATTTTGCTTGAGGATCAAGAAAGTTAAGAATTTTAACTTTCAGGGGGTAATCATACGTGCTTCCTCTCCCTAGCGGGTAATCTGGTTCGAAGGTTCAAACTAGAACCGAGTAAGCAAGAGGACTAGGGAAGGAAAGCTAGCAGCGAATAACTGTGTTTTTTCTTGTGTTTCCCTGTCCAATCTCCACTGGATGGTGTCTAGCACTTGAAATTTTTTTCACTGAAGTATTCCAGATCAAGACTGTATCACATAACCAAGAAAATTTTTTGCTGTTGTATGGGTCGGATGAATTATCTAATTTCCATATCCTTTGTTGTCCGATATACTCTGGAATTGTGGTGGAGTGATGAAATCTGCGGTCTATCTGCGTAACCATTTCTTCTTGTGGTTTGAAGCCCTCTGCGACTCTGTCCTTGTTATCATCAAGCTGCAACTGCAAGCGAAGGAGGAGAGTCTTCCTGCTGGATTTGTTTCGTACGTACACTTCATGATCTGGTCGTGATGACCACTTATCATCGCCCGCATCGCTTGCTCCTGGGAACTCAACCTGATTCACCCCCAAGAAACGAAAGCAGAACGCACAATGGATATACAAGCGAGACAAAATTTGACACCAATATGGTCATCATTCTGGCAGCTCTGCTGTGTGCATTGATATGTGCTCTTGGACTAAATTCAATCGTGAGATGTGCCTTGAGGTGCAGCCGAAGGTTTGCTTTGGAGTCACCGGACGAGACAGCTGCACGCCTGGCTGCAACCGGACTGAAGAAAAGCATGCTACGGCGGATACCGGTAGCAGAATACGGGACCGGAGTCGTTCTACCGGCAACAGACTGTCCAATATGCCTAGGGGAATTTGAGGATGGGGAGAAGGTAAGAGTGCTGCCAAGGTGTCACCATGGTTTTCATGTGAGGTGTATTGACATTTGGTTGGCCTCACACTCTTCTTGTCCTACGTGTCGGCAATCGTTGTTGGAGCAGCAGCCCTCGTGCCCTGATGATGCTACGGATACTGAGGCTCTAAGGCTGCCTGCAAATGGATCGGGAGGTCATGCTGATGTATCCGTCTCTGCTGAGGAGGTAGGGTGAATGCAATTTATTTTATTTAGGTAAACATTTAAGGAAGGAAATTGTGCAAGGATGGAAGGTTGAAACGTCCTTTTCCTAGTCTTGGTTGTCAATCTAGCCCCTTATTCTGCATGAAAAAGAATCCTTTTTGTACCATTGTTGTCCGAGAATTTTATAGTAATTTTGAGGGCTGAGACATGACTGCGACGACTGCTCTCTTTTTCTGGATTACCACGCATAAGGAGTGATGGAATGATTTTACGCTTTAATTAAATTGGAGGATTCTTGATTTTCTGTTGTCAGTTACCGTGTGGAAGGATTGGGTTCTTTTACATTTTCAACTTTATTTTTTTTGGTATAAAATCTGATGGTAAAAGTTTCTGATTCCTCCGTCAGCCATCCCTCGACTGAGGAATTTATCGGACCACTAAACTAATCCATCTTTCGTTTAGGTTCCCAGTCAGCCAAACAATTTCTTACCATTCAAACTTGGATCACCTTCTCTCAATTGTTTGTGCATAGTCGCATTATGACCCCCTTGTCTGATTGAGCTCGCTGCAAGTGGTAAACGCACCCTCGCAATGACTATGTGCTTACCCGTCAACATCGAGAACATGACCTTTTTATCAGAACATGGTAAGTTCCCCATGCGTTAATGGAGATGGCAACAGGGCGGGTTTGGGGGCGGGGACTCCGTTGCCAAAAAAACGCCCCCGCCCCAGTCCCATCCCCAACCTCCTGCCCCGTCCTGCCCAACTTTTCTCGTGGATGTCGTGGGTGATAATTTAAATTTTTTTTCTATAAACTTTTATTCAATAGATCAAAACTGAATTCAAAGAATAAAATAAAATACGAAACTGAAAAAAGTGAAAAAAAATTAAACAAGAATAGTGTTGAAATAAAACACGAAGAAAATTAAGAAATTCAATTGGATTATATGGATAATATTTGAAAATACTCATAGAACGCATAACATGTTTGTACTAAATAACAATTAAGAACTTAGATAGAATTGAAATAAAGGTTATGTTTAGCTATCAAATATTCTAAATTTATTATTATTAGATTATATAGTATATTACATTTATTTATACCCCCAATTTAGAACGGCCCGTCTCCAGTCCTTCACCGCCCCATTACTCCCCGGCGAACGGGCACCCGCCCCTGTTGCCGTGCCTATACATTAATACAGGTTCTGCAGTAGAAACAAGTGCAGTTTCAGGTGCAAACTGTTAGAGAGAAATTCATTATTCATCATTTAATCAGTTTTCCAAGCACCAATGATTATCAAGAGATTATGGTGTATTCTCCAAGTCTTCTAACCACTAATCCAAGCTGGAAATAACTCATCATCTTATCACTTGTAGACTTGGTACCCCCTGATTTGACAGGCATATGTATATTGGATGAAAAGCGATTGGGAACAGAAGGAATCATGACAAATGTGTCCATAAAATGGAATCGAATCCGGGAACTCTTTCTCCCCTTTTCAATTTCTCCTCCATCTTTTGCTCTCTGGGCCTACGAAGAGCCACGATCAGAATCCCTTCACCATCTCTTTGCATATGGTATATCTGACTTTTGGGGATGAAACGTAGCGTGATGAGGCTTTTAATTGTTAGTCCATCCCTCATCATTGGACCACATCTCCTGCTGCCCGCATTGGCGGAGCCAGAAAAAAATCTTAGTGGGGGCACAAATAATACTAAAATTTTTTATCTACTCTTTTTTTAATTTTTTGAGCAAAAAATAAATAAATTCACTAACAAGTACAATTGATATGTATATTCCATGAAAAACATAAAAAGACAAACTCAAAATTATTAATGTAATAATAATTTTATTTAAAAACTTCTTTTATTGTCATTTTTTGCACCTTCATTATCCTTGGCTTCTTCTCTATTAGATGGCTCTTTTTCCATTGATTTCCTCTTGAAATATCTCTCCATAGCTAAAGAAATTAAAATCAATATATAAGATACTAATCCAATTAAAATATTAAATGTACAATAAAATCTAATAATCTATCCAAGGACTATTTTACAAGTTAAAGTTATTTATTAAATCATTAATCACAACATATCATTACTATATCAAATCACAACTTATTCATTCATTACTATATCAAATCATTAATCAGAATATATGAACCTAATCAAGTTAATTAGACAAAAGGATCCATATAAGAATAATTTAAAAGTTAAAATATATGTCAAATGGCCCTCTATTCATCATTACATTAACTCCAAATAAGAAACTAATCATGGAAAATAAAAAATAAATTATAAATCTATAAAATCACCATTTCACAAGTTAAAATATTTATCAAATATCAAATAACCCATTTATTAGTTATTACATTAAGGGAAAATGGCCAATTTCGTCCCTAAACTTTTTTTTCGTGTCAATTTAGTCCATGTATATTTTTTTTTGCCAATTTGATCATTATACTTATTTAACAGTTCCAATTGAGGAACTCCGCGGCGGCGCCACCGTATAAATTCAATCAAATCACTAATTGAACAATTAAGCAAGGGTATTTTGGGTAGTTCATTGTTGGAACAGTAAAAAAGAAGTAAAATCCGGCAAAAGGACCCAATTAGCTTTTTATAATTGCAATAATCCGGCAAAAGACCCAATTCTATTCTAAACTTAGAATTGGGTGCTGAGATTTATGTCGGCAAGATTCCAATCGAGTTTTGAGAATATTGAGTCTTTATTGAAGAAGCTCCACTGGATTTTAGTTTCCTCTGCTATTCGGCTGCTAATTATCACCACTCGAAAATCCCTTTCCACTACAAACCAGCAGAGCTTTTCCCTTCTTTTCCCAACTGTTTCGATACGTTTGAGGGCCAACAGAGTTGAGTGTTTTGGGGACCGATTTTTATCACTTTTTTTGTTCTTCAGAGTGCCTTATACCTGATATACACCCCTTTTTCTTTTATTTTTTTGGAAGAATTTAAATTATCTTGGGTAGCTGATTTTTGTTTAATTATGTTGCGGGGATACAAGTACATTCTTGAGGATTTTCTGGGTATTGAAAGAGGTGCCGATGGTGGTGCTGGAATTGGAGGAGGTGCAGGTAGTGGTGGTGCTGCTGGAGGCGGCGTTGGAGGTGCTGATGGAGGAGCTGGAGTTGGAGGAGGTGCAGGTGCAGGTGGTGCCGCTAGAGGTGGCGCTGGAGGAGGTGTAGGTGGTGGTGCTGGGGCTGGAGCTAGTGTTGGAGGAGCAGGTGGTGGTGGTGGAGTTGGAGGCAGTGCAGGTGCTGGTGCTGGTGCTGGTGCTGGTGCTGGAGGTGGCATTGGAGGAGGTGCAGGGGGTGGAGCTGGTGGAGGAGTAGGTGGTGGTGTAGGTGGTGGGGCTGGTAGAGATTGGTAGTGGAGTTGGGGGTGGAGCAGGCGGGGAAGTAGGAGGGGTCGTTGGAGGCATTAGTGGGGTGCCGGAGGTGGAGCAGGTGGAGGTGTAGGAGGAGGAGCCCGAGGAGGCGCTGGCAGAGGTGTTGGAGGTGGGGCCGGTGGCGGAAAAAGGGGTGGAGCAGATGGTGGCTTTGGGAAAGGTGGAGGTATAGGAGGTGGTGCAGGTGGTGGTTTTGGGGCTGGAGGAGGTTTTGGTGGAGGGCATGGGGGATTTGGTAAGGGTGGAGGAGTTGGCGCGGGCGGTGGATTCGGAGGCCGGACTAGTCCTAGAATTGGACGTCGCAAATTGTGATCTCACTGACGCAGTTGAAAAGAAACAAAGCAAAACTGGGCAATTTTTAAGCAATGGGAGAGGAGTTCGGACAGCCTTTGGAGACTTTGTTAGTCAAGAATCCAAGGTTTAGAATTGGATCCTTCAAGGATTTTACTTCTTTTGTTATTGTCCCAGTGAACTACCCAAAATACCCTTACTTAATTGTTCAATTAGTGATTTGATTGAATTTATACGGTGGCGCCGCCACGGAGTTCCTCAATTGGAATCGTTAAATAAGTATAAGGATCAAATTGGCTAAAAAAAATATACATGGACTAAATTGACACGAAAAAAAAGTTTAGGGACGAAATTGGCCATTTTCCCTTACATTAACTAATCAATTTTCAAATTTCTCTAAAACAGTAATAATCTCATGCTCTAGAAATATATTTGCAAACAAATTTAAAATAATAATAATAAGAAGTAATTGTTTAAAACCTAATTTCAATGGTCTCCCAAAATTGGTGAAAAGAGTTGCAAATCAGTGGCACTGTGGCAGACTTAGGTCCCTTTACTTCCTTTGTGCCCCGTATCACGTTATTTAATTGGAAAGAAGTCAGCTTCAAGGACTGGTTTCTTGCGGTTGAACTGAAGAAAGCAGGTCTTGGTTTTCAAAAAGCCTACTCCTTTAATGGAACACTGTTTGAAGTAGTCAACAACACCATTTTCATGACAGGAAAACCTAGATCGGACTATTTGATGGGAGAGACCATTTTCGGTGGGGACAACCAAGAGGCAAAAGAGGAAAAGAAAATTGGGGAATGGGGACAAAGGAAGTAAATGATTAATGATGATTGGATGAAGTAATAAAAAAAAAAAGTAGTTAGTTGGGTGTGGAAGAAGAGGAGTTGTGGGTTGTGAAGTGAAATGGGGGACCACAGGAGTAAAGGGAACTTCGAGAGTGGGAACCAAAAGTAATGACTGATATAATTGATATTTGGTCCTTAGAGGAGGAAAGTGAATGATATAAATTTTGTGATCCATTCTTTCATATTTTTTTTTAAAAAATTCTGGGGGCACCAGTAAAATTGTATCAAAATTATAGGAGTATTATAGGAATTTAAGGAGGGCAGTGGGGGCCGTGCCCCCAGTGCCCCCACTGTAAATCCGCCCCTGTATGGTCGTATCTTTTTTTTTCTTGAATTTTCACTTTAAAAAAACTTTAAAAACAAAGAAGAATCATTCAACAATAACCAAGTTAGCCATAATTTTTTTATATATTTATATATTTTTTTACTTAGGGACAAAATGTCCCTTCAAGTTAGCCATAATTATTTTAAGTACTTAGTTCAGAACCAATTTATATGCATCCCTAATTTTTTGACAATAAATAATTTTTCCACTAGTCAATGTGATTCCACATTGATGAATGCCATTAAAAAATCATTTCTTAGAAAACAAAAGAAAACAGAAAAGACAAACAATTCTTTTTTTTTTTCGAAGAAAGACAAACAATTCTCATGTTCATGTGTAACTCAGTGATGCAATCCCCTAAATAGCCATAACTCTCTGATATAGGTCAGTCACAAAAAACATTGCTGACCAACAAGCACTGCGTATCATTTAAGGATCAGTAATGTCCGGATGCGGTGTCCTTAACCCATTATCTAACACATTACTAATATAGGGGGTTTTCCGGCGGCTTGGGGGGGCTTAAGCCCCCACCAGCCCCCCCTTAAATCCGTGGCCCTGTTCAACTGACTCCATCTCTCATGTTTTCCTTCAATTCGTTGACAATGAAGCTCGTCACCTACTAGTCTACAAGTATTTTAGTACCGAAAAAGTATCTTAAAATTTCGGGGCCATGGCTAATTCTGTAGTAAAATTTTCGAAGTTAAATACTAAATAGTATAGAGTTCCATTTCAAAAATATGTTTTTCAATGAGAAGAAATGACAAATTTCAAAATTTAGTAAAAAAATAGCTATCTCTAAATGGGAAGGGCCTGCCAATTAACGCGCTACACGATTTTGATTTTACCACATGCCGAACGTACCAATACAGGGCCTGTCGGCTGCCCTTACCAAACTGCGCTGCCGTTTGGATTGCTATTTTTAAAAAAATTTATATATATAATAATTTAATATATGTAAAATAAAATAATAATTGAAAGGTATATATTCAAAAAACGTAAAAAACTTTTTTTACGAAAAACTTAATGAAATGATGTAATTTGTAAAAACTTTATAACACATATAAGTCATAGTAAAAAAAAAAAATTTTCTTATCTGTGCCTAAATTAAGAACAAAAAAAAAAAAAAAAGAGATGAGATAGTCTGCTGTAGAATTCGACCTGGAAATCAAGTATCCGTGTATTTGTGCGTAGAAATGTGTGCGCGCAGGCGCGTTGGTTCTTTAAAAGGCCATCACAGATTAATTAATCTCGCGTCGCATCAATGGCCACCAAGACGTCTTTCTTGACGGGAAAGTCCGGCGCGCAGCCAGCCATTTCTCTACGTGCGTAGATTCTGCATTCCAATTCTTGCTTTTTTCCACGCCCTGATGATATTATTTATTTTTTCAAGTTCAACCGTTAAGCTTACTAAATAATAGCCTTATTTGGATTGCTAATTTTTCATCGAAAAATTACGTCATTTTTTGTAATCATATTTTTGTATTATCTTTTTTTTTTCACATACATCAAATCGTTATAATAATTTTTCGATTAAAAATTATGAAAAATGCAATGATTTCGGACCAAGATAAAATTTTTCATAGTGGTATATGACTATGGCTCCGGGTTCTTCCTGCTAGTTGCCCACCGAACTCAACTGTCATTTACCATTTCACTCCGTGGCTTTAATCAGTCTTGTACACAAGGCCATATAAATGCAGATGCCTTCGTCGTTGCTTAGAAGTAATTTACAAGTACTGACGGTAACCATTTTTGCTCTAATAAGAGCCACCACATAATTAGGGACATGAATACACTATACATGATCCGTTAGCATTACTAAGTTTGGCGTGCATGTTGACTGTTGAGAGCTCATAATTGCATAACTTTGGACTAGAAGCATTACACCTTTCCCGCCATCATTATTAAGTTGATCCAATGTGTGTGGAGAGTGAAACTTTTATTTATTTATTTGATAAAATAGAAGTCAACATTATTAATAAACATGTCAGTACGATGTTAAACAAAATTGCACTAATGGCAAAAAAAATATATAAAAATATCACAGCTAAATTTGATTTAAAAAATTAATTAGATTTAACAGAAATATTAAGTAAGAAAAAGTTACATTGTAAATCATAAACCATTAAATTTGACCAATTGTACGAGTTGTTCTATAAATATCTCTGCATATCTCAAATCAGTTATTCAATTGATTCAAATTAAAAAACTGATGTAGAGATCTGATAAGAAAACTCAAGAAATTTCAGATCTAACATATAGATATGAAAAAACTCTTAGATATGAGAAAAATACAAAAAAAAAAAGAAAAAAACAAAACTCTCACTAGAATTCTAAAATAGTTTAGGAAAGAAGAAAACTCTCACTACATTAAAAGAGAGAAAACTCTCACTAAAATATCCTTATAGAAATTTTACTAATCATAAAATAAAAACGGAATAAGAGGAATGAAGACCTTGAAGCCAAGGTCTTCTATGGAGAAAGAACGGCAGAGAGAAGCTTAAAAATAGAGAGAAGACGGGGAGAATGAGAGATGAGATTGAAACTTAAATGTGCTTTTGAAATTCTTTGCAGTCAGCTGCTGAAGGAAAACGCCTGCAAGCCCAAAATATGGGAAAACGCCTATAAGCCCAACTTAAGTTGTCTTAGGATCATATGGTCAAAACAAATTTGCATCATTCATCATCATGGTCCTATCAGTCCTAAGTTAGGCATGATGACGGCTAAGAATGATGCATTGTATTGTATTAGGTGATGTAAACCGATTTTAAATCTTAATTACTTAATGTTATAAACTTTACACGGCCAATTCATGAAAGGAGTTTATTCAAAGTCTTTTTGGTTTGCCGAAGAAATGAAACTTCTTTTATATCATCATGTTAAATTGGAAAGAAACAAACGAGGTACTAACAAATTATGTCAAACCCACTGTAGACTCCACCTTCCCAGATGATAAGCGAATTGGTAATCGAAGAACCGTGTCTCCACCTTCTTAAAATATTCAGATCGTAGGTCACAATTGGCTAAAAGGGATCCATAACAGCAATAGTACAGAGGGTTTCAACCGGTTTAATAGTCGACAAGTAAAAGAGATGAAGTAGAATTTACTATTAAATTAGGAAGACCATGAATCCCAACACCAGGTAACACCATCGTCGTAGAAAGTACAGACCAAGATTCCAAGCCCAGGCACTAGACGTTTAACTTCTCATTCTTTAGATAACTCGGCAGCAAGAGTATTGGCTAAGGAGGAGATGGTGGTCTGTGACACCCCTCTGGTTCCACCCAGGTACCATTTCTTGATCGTCTCAACCACGTTTGCATTCTCCACCTTTATCTTTGATTCCTCTTTTCCCTCTGTTGTGAATGCAATCTGTCATCAAATAAATATTCAGTGATCCGGGGTCAAAGATCAATTCTAGATTAAACCATGCAAGTTTACGGATAATGGTATAATCATACTAGTATCTAGGAGACGATAATGATCACCTCAGCGGAGGCAGAAGAACCGGCAGGGAAATAATATGTCAAGATAGAATCTTTCTTGAAATATTTAGGTTGGAAAAACTCAATAAGTTCCTCAAGAGCTGCTTCCTCCTCATCTTCATATCTATCATCAGCTGCAAGTCGATCCCTCACCGCGCTTTCTAGCTGCACGCCATATTGCGAGCCCTTTATCTCTTTAATCACTACGATTCTCAGAAACTTGTCCACGGGGGCTGCCAAAGAAGAAGTGTTAAAAGAGTACCACGCAGTAAATCACTCTTCCTCTACACACCTCAAAATTATTATTATTATTCTTAACTGGTGAGGAGCAGTGCTCAAAGCCTCGAGATATATGGGCA